ATTCGAGTGTTATTTCATTGTTTTTATAAGTAGCTTTAATGCCTTTTGTATTTACATGATTAAAAGGAATTATATTAGGTAAAAACGGGGTTCCTAGTATAACATCTTTGGATAAATTTTTTACTAAGACACAAGGAATAGGAATACAAATTCCTTGGACACAAACATGTGTATTAGGTAATTTATATTTAACATCTAATTTATTTTCATTAGCACTACTAAGAGTCTATGTTGTAATCTCAAAAAATTTTGAAGGTACTATTCCTTCATTGATGCAGTTTAAATCTACCCTACTATCGACCAGAGCTATAAGGTCTGGTATAAACATTTGCTCAGATATGGCTAGAGTAATTTTTATGTACCATTTTTGAGAGGTAACTTGCTTTAAGATTTGTAAAAATCTAAGCTTTCAATATCTTTTTCTTTATCAGAATTATCTTCTGATTGAATAAGAGATCTTTGATTCTCTTCATGTTCATTAATCTTATTAAGAATATATTTATTTTCTTGTTTTAAACCTTTTACTTCCTTTTTTAATTCTTGTATTTCTTTATTTAAATCAGATAAAGAAAGATGCTTAGATGTTGAAGTTAAATTTTTTTGTCTTTTTAAAACTTCAGACATAGAGTAAACATTTTCAATATTAGGTTTGTTTTTTTCTTTGGATTTTAAAAGAGATTCTATAAGTTCTCTTTTTGTGTCAGAAGATATATCTTCTGATATAATTTTTGTTATAATTTCATGATTCAAAGAAATCATGTTGATGGATAAACCATTCATCTGAACTATTGTCTTCCAATGGTCAGCATTTGTTCCACAACTATTAGTTGTACATACACAAGGTGTATCTTTGTCAGATTCTGACTCAGAGTAGGACGATTCATCCTCTTCTAATTCACTATTAATCATTATTTTATATAAAGTCTTTCTAAGACCCTCATCTTCTAAGGCATCTATTTTCTTTTTTATATAATATTTGTTAGCATAGTGCCCTATTTTACCACATCTATAATAGTGGATTTCTTTTTTATCTTTCTTCGGTTTAAAGGGTTTTTTCCTATTTCTCCCTTTTTTCTCTCTTTTCTTCTTTAAAATATTTTTTTCTTTTTCTTTTTAAAAGAAGAATGTTTCTTTTCTTTGAAAGTTTTTATTGGTTCTTTATCAACTCTATAAGGTTGATCAAAAGCAAACTGTTCACAGAATTCTCCTAACTCTTTTCTTTTAGTAAGTCTTTGAGACTTTAACTGATTTTTTAATTTTAAATTATTACATAATGCTAATCCTTCTTTTATGCAGGCATTTATTAAATACCCATAAGGTAAATTTTCATAGGGGATATAACCTCCTTGTCCATCTCTTATTTTATTTCTGACTCTGTCAGCAAAAAGAGTTGGTATCCATCTATAAATTTGGATTTCCAATGAGAGCTATTAGCATTATCAAGCATCATGACTCTACTTAAATAAGTATCTTTATACCATCTAAAATGCGTTAAAGATAGACATCTAAAATTTTGTAATAAAGTCATTATTCTTTCTCCATTATCTAAATATAATCCAGAAAAATGGTGTGTTATTGCTAACATTAAAGTATAAACAACATCTTCTTGTGGAACACCATTGACTATTTTAGTCGGGTTTAAAATTTTATTTCTGGCGTCAGAGGATAAATAGTTATCCCACCATCCTTTAAGGATACCAGTGAATCCACATGAAATATATGAAGCAATCATTTTGTCGGTATTATCGTTTTGTCTACATACAGTAGAATACATAAGCATATGATACTTAGTAGAATATATTAAATTATCAGATGCTCCATCAATATTCCACTCATAAATATTTCGACCATTATAATCAGTCTGAATATATGTATCGTTTTCTTCAAATAAAACATCAGAAGGAGTGAGTCTTTTATAATAATACATTTCTATCCTTTTTGAAGGATTTTTTATTTTGTTTATTGATGAAAACTTATTTTCTAAAGTTAATAATTCATTTGGGTTTAATTCTTCTTCAGATGAATTATCTTGAAAATCATTCATGTCATTTTCTGAAGAACTTTTATCAGTAGGAATAACTGATGAAGTTGAGGATAACATATGTAAGTTAGAAATTTGAAATTTTTTTCTAATAATTCTATAATATTAGAGGTTACCTCATCACCTCTTTTAAAACCTGAAATATCTATTGGTGGTTTAATAGTTGCCATTTTACTATCACTGTTAGGAGCCTTATTAGTTTCTAATAATGAAGGTATTATTTTATTAAACTTATTTATTAATTTTTCTAATGCATCTTAAATTATTATTAATTATTTTCCTACTACTTGAAGATGTAAATTCGTATAATTATGTTGCTTAATTATTTTATTTAACTCTTTTAGAGTTTCATCATTTGATTCATTTTGTTTTAAAAAAGCATTGGTTTTTAGCGTACTAGAGTGAATACCAGATATTTTTAAAGCGTCTGTTGGAGGGTATATAGATCTTATATTCATTCTAGTGGCAGATTTCCACAGTTTATAATGTTCTTCTATAACTCTAATTTGGTTTTCTTGATTTTGTATATAATACTTTAAAAACCAAGGAATAAATTTTTTTTTCTAATTTTTTATTCTTCTAATTTTTGATTCTTTTATAAGTCTTTATAATACTTATTTTTAAATTCTAGTTGTTCTATTTTACAAAAGCTTTTTAAAAACCATTTTCTTATTTCTAGATGTTTTCTTCTTGAAATTCCTTATTAAGGAATCCTCTTATTTCTTTGTTTTCTATAATATTCATAATTAACCAGGCATTCTAAAACTCATTTCAAAGCTAGTTGGAGAATTTTTATCCTTTTCTTTATATAATGCATGAGGAATATTATTCTCAGAAATATTAATTCCTTTAACATCATTTGTTTTATAAGAACGTGATCTAGAAATTAATCTTCTAGATGTACTAGTGACATCAGAAAGACGAATAGTTCGCGAAGGATTAAAAACGATTTCAACTTCTCCATCAACCGTTTGAGTTATTTGATCAATCTCTTAGTTGATAATTGGTTGTGGTTGAACAGCGTTAGGTATAACCCAACTATCAGGAAAATTTATTTCATCCCATTTAATCTGTCTATTGACAGCAATATTTGATGATAAAACATTTGTTTCAACCAGTACTATTTTTCCTGGTTTAGAATGAATCTTAGCTTTTGGAGCTAAAGAATTTAATGTTTTATAATGAATTCTATAAATTATGGCTACAGTCTCATATCCTGAGATAAAATTATAACCATGAGTTTTTATATTTAAGCTTACTGCCTCAAATATATTAGGGTCTATCAAAGATAAACTTAAATTTGGATAGACATTAAAATAAACTGGTTCGTTGCAAAGACTAGTTTCCATAATACCCATTAAAGACTGAGTCCAGTTTAAACATCTTGCATCTCTTAAACAAGTTAATATTAATGTATTTAATCCTTGTAAAGTCAAGGGTCTAAAAGCTACTTGAATTAAACCAATATGAATATACTTATATTTATCCATATAAGGATCAATATCAATAGGACTGAACAATTATATTATTTGCTCATCACGATCTACTGTAGTAGTTTGTTCTATAGTTTTAATAGTAATCAAGGATTTATAATATAAAAATCCTATTTTATAAATATCCCTATTAGGAATTGCACGAATTGTCCATTTATTTAAAGCCTCTATTTCAGAGGTATATTTTGTGCTTTGAGCATTTTTAACTCTTTTTCCCTTATTAAGGGTCTTACTTAACGTAGAGGACGATGGAATTAATTCGGACATAATAATCTTATAGATTTATTTGCGTAAGAAAAATTATAAGGATAGAAATTAACTATTTTTCTTTCTTTTCTTCAAGAATCAACTTAGTTAGAAGTCTACACGTCTGTCGGAAATCATATTCTTCTTGGAGCTGTACAATATTTTATGTTAATAATGCTGCTGAACAAGAAAGAGGAGTACCTCGATTGGTCATAAATTATAAACCTCTTAATAAAGTCCTTAAATGGATTGGATATCCTATTCCTAATAAAAGGGATTTATTAAATCGTATTAATAATGCAAAAATATTCTCTAAGTTTGACTTAAAGTCGGGATATTGGCAAATACAAATTGAAGAGAAGCATAGATATAAATCTGCTTTTGTTATTCCATTTGGACATTACGAGTGGAATGTAATGCCTTTTGGATTAAAAAATGCCCCTTCTGAATTTCAAAATATCATGAATGAGATATTTATTCCTTATGCGGATTTCATCTTATCATATGTAGATGATATTTTAATCTTTTCTCAAAATTTTGACCAACATGTTAAACATTTAGAAATTTTTAAAAACTTAGCGATACAAAATGGTTTAGCAGTATCTGCGCCTAAAATAAAATTATTTCAAACCCAACTTGGATTTTTGGGTCATAATATTCATAAAGGAACTATAGTTCTAATAGATAGAAGCATTGAATTTGCTTCTAAATTCCCTGCTATTATTACTGATACTAAACCATTACAAAGATTTTTGGGATCTTTAAATTATATTGTAGATTATCATAAAAATCTAACCCATGACACTACTATTTTATATAGTAGATTAAAAAAGAATGCTAAACCTTGGACAGATTAGCATACTAAAGCTGTTAAAAGAATAAAAACCAATGTAAAATGTTTACCTTGTACTCATTTTACGAATACTGATTGTGTTCGCTGGAAAAATCGTTGCTTTCTTTACTGATTCCATTGCAATCTTGAATAACAGTTTTTCGGTTACAAAAGATCCGGTCTTTTTTAGATCCGGTTACAATGAAAATCAACTTACATATCTATGCTGCAAATGGATCATGGCCGCTAACGACCCCGTCCCCCTGCGGTCGATTGAGGATCTGAAGACAGAAGCTGCATCGCCGCGAGGATAGTTCGAGACGATGTATTGGAACGAAGGAGACGCGAGAAGAAGCTCGCTGGTCCCTCAGGCAAAGGTAAGCAGAAAATGAGGGAAATAGAAGAAGAGTCATTTGCTTCTGAAGAGGAAACTTCCGAAGAAGGTGAATTCGCTGCTGGTGTTGCTACAGAAGTCAACAGTGGTTTTGAGGAAAACGCGGCAGGTTTGTCTGAATCTTTTTGTAAAGAACTATGGGACTTGTCGATTGCTGATCGAGCTCGTCGACTTAAAGCTCGTAAAAAATGGAGAATTTTGCCTACTTACAATAGGATGATTGTTGAACTTTCAAATGTAGATTCCGAGGAGGAAGAGGGAGGTGGCCTCGTTACCCGTGCCCGATCTCGGACCATAGCTCAAGCGGGATCGCAAGTTGAGCCACCTGCCATATCCATACAAGATAGACCTGTGGATCTCCAAGAGACCCGGCCCACGAAAAGGTTAAAGTTAACCATCAAGCGCCCCACTAAACTTCAGACTTCTCAAACGGAGGCGATCGGCGATGCACCCGTTACCCTACGAGTTGATGGCGGCTTCTTGATCACCTCCTTCTGTAGCTTCCGACGGGCTTCTTCGGCTTTGGCCCGTACTTGTGCCGATAATGCGCGGCGTTTGCGGATACGCTCCTCCAGCGTCGTACGGTTCCGTTTGACCCGGACCCACTCCATCGTTGATGGCTTGGAGGAACCACTCTTCACTTGATGTTGAGGCTGTTTGCCTCGTTTGTTCTTCAGATCCGCATGGTAACGGACCCCGTCAACAGACTCCATGGCCTTGGCGAACTGCTTCGCGAGGCGTTGGCGCTGCCTCTGGCGAGCTCTCTTAGAGAGAATCACCACGCCTTCGACGGCGGATTTGACCTGCTTCGAGGCCGGTAGGACTTCACCTGACGCAACTTCGGCGTCGAATGGGGTGAGGTCGTCGTTGGTGGCTTCAACTTCTTCGCCCCAACGGACTTTTCTCCTGGAGGAGAACTTCTGGAATTTCTTGGACTTACGGGGGGAGGTTAATCCAGATGAGGACATGTACTCCTCGTACTTCTGCTGGTCGAACTCATACTCGACCTCCTCCACGACCGGGATCGAGATCCGCGGCTGCGACGCTCCGATCTCGGCAGCGAGATCGGTGGCTCCCACTGTGGTCGCCAGATTGTTCGCTGGAAAAATCGTTGCTTTCTTCATTGATTCCATTGCTATCTTGAATAACAGTTTTTTCGGTTACAAAAGATCCGGTCTTTTTTAGATCCGGTTACAATGAAAATCAAAAATAAAGAAAATTAAAAATTACAACTTTTTCTCTTTCGTCGAACAAATCGCGAGCTCCTGTTATTCGGTCACTCGCTTTGGTGGGTTGTTTGCCTGCGCCGGGGTTGTTTGCCGTGGACCACCGCGCGATCTAGATCCGAGCAGATCTACGCAGTATAACGGGTATTATTTCACCAAGGAAATAATAGCCGGAGGGATTATTTCACCAAGGAAACAATCGCTCGAATCTCGGGATCAAAGACCAAGCTTTGATCCGGAGTGTAACAACGTAGATCTGAGATCTCGATCCCCTCGAACTCCTGCCTTTTGTCTTGCGGGTGCTCGCCAAGAATCAGATCTGGACGTCCAAGTCTTCAAGCCTTCAAAAACTCCAAGATGAGGTCTCAATCCGGCAGAGTTTCGGCTCTCCAAAAGTTCTTCCCAAAGTCCTCTAAAATTTTGGATGACCCCGCCTATTTATAGGCAACCAGATCTGTGCATTTGGCACAGATCTGGGCGGCCACCTCAGGGTGGCTCGGCTCATGCCGAGCCACCCTGATTGGTCTGAAATCGATTCGTTGACTTGATTCCTGATTTGGAAGTCTGGATCCCGATTAGGCAGTAAATCGGCTTTGGTGTCTGAGTTCGAATCCGTTATATGGTTGGATGACTCGTTGACTCCCTGGACCGTTGGTTTGATTCCGCACGCGAGTGGATTCATTCCGTTGTTCACGTGCGGTTCGTCAACTTCGTAGCCTTGTTAATCCGCTTCGTTGCGTGTCACTTGGCTTCGGTGTTGTGGACTGACGTTCGTGCTTAGATACGTCGCCCGATGGTTCATTAGTTCGTGTTGAGCCGTGTTAAGGGACCTATAAGCAATTTTATATGCCTACAGATACCCCCTCCAAAGTTTTCCAGCCTCGTTCTTTTATAGAAGAGTCTGGAATACTTTGGATATGACTGTCCCAACCTTCAATCGGTGTAACGGGATCTTGGAATGGCTTCTGTTCTCGATTCCTTCAATCCTCCAGGCTATTCGGTGCTTTGTCGAATGCTTGAGAGGGTTCCGGTGCTGCATTTATTGTCTGACCGTTGTCGGAATTTTGAATTTGAAGTCGATTCTTGATTTCATGGCTTTTTAGCTCGAGTTAGTTGCTTCAACATGGAATTAACCATCGGTTGACGGCTTCGAATCCTCATTGTGACGCGTTGTCCGGCGTTTAACACAGTTTATACTCGTAAGTATTTTGGAGTCTACACAGTTTAAGCTCTTAAGGAGTTGGAGCGGGGAGGTCTAGTTTATACTCATACACTCCTGGGAGTTATGTTAAGTTATCCTTAAGAATATTTTTTAGAAAAATATTCTCCAGAAACTTCTCAACAAAGAGGAGGGAATAGTTTATACTTGTATACCTTATTGGAGTATTCTTTAGGTTCGAATAATCTGAACCGGCCCAAAAAATGTGCCAAAAAGGCAGTATTTGGGTTCAAAAATCTCTCTGACCCTTCCAAATATATGGTAGAGGGGTTAAATAGGTGAAGGACTGAACCGTAGGTTGATCAAAAGTCGCTTCAATGCTTAATTCAGCTCCAATTTGAATTCTGGTTCAAATTTGGTTCAAACTGGTTCAATTTGGCTCAGACTGGCTCATTCTGGTCTGGTCTGGTCCAGCCAGGTTCAATCTGGCTCAATTTGGCTCATTCTGGCTCAATCTGGCTCATTCTGGCTTAATCTGGCTCAACCTGGCTCAATCTGGCTTGGTCTGGTTCAGCCCTGGTCTGGTCTGGTTCAGCCAGATCTGGTTCAAGGCTATAAAAGGGGTTTTTTCTTTTTTTTTTCTTTTTCTTTTTTTTCTTCCTCTCTTCCTAGGGATATTGAAACTGACTACGGTTTGATGTTTTAAGGACCACAGTTGACCAGGATGAAGAGTTCCGTCCCCCTCCCCAGGCGAGACCTTCGATTATTATCCCTGCTGCTAGGCGGAAGAGATTAGCCCGCAAGCAGCGCGTAGCTTCCCGAGCATCTGATATGGACTTGGCTGGTGATGATCCTGCAGGCGACAGAGGTAACATCTACTTTGTAGATCATTCTCTTGATCGTTTAGATTTTTAGGCTCATGCTTTCCCATTCCATGCAGGAGAGCGCGAGGAAGGGGAGATGAGTTTTGATCCTGCTCCTCATGAGTTTGTATCTTCTGGTGAGCCTGACTCACCTTACCAGGTAGAGTCCCGATTCCGTTCCTGTGTCTCCTGGTGAGCCTGACCCGCTGCCCCAGTTAAAAAGGCCTACAGGGGTTGCCGACATTAGGGAGGATAGCAATGTAGGACCTGATTCCGCAGATCCAGGTACATCTACTATTGACAATGTATCTTTTAGATGGTATACAAAAGAATTTGTGCATCCTCTAATCATCTCTGTACATCTTGCTTCTTCAGATAACTTGCAGGAGGCATACGTGGATTTTGGGAATAAAGAGGCTAACGCATCCATAAGGGGTAACTCATTTTTGTTGGTTGTAGTCTCTTTATTCTTCTTTGGTACTTATATTCTTTTACGTCAGATTTCTCTATTGATGATTTTGACGAGGAAGGCTTGATCGCGGAGACTCCTACACTCCACTTCATGTATAGCTCTCCTCAATTTGATGGCCAGTTACCCGGAGATATATTTTCCGAGCCTACGTTCGATAAGAATCTTGAGGATGATTCTTTCGAAGGTATATGCCTCCTCCCAAATTAATTATAGGACTAGCCAATTTTGACTAATGCAGCTATAATGTGATGCCTTTTGTTATTAATGACGACCTGCCACAATGTTGAATATGTGGACGGGTGTTCTTTTTAACGGTTAAGAACTAACCGGCAGCGCAGGTTAAGCGCAGACTTATCCTTGCTTAGGTTTCAGGATAAAATACCCCAGAATCAGACTCTGGTGTCTTTTTGTGCGGAAAAAGACTAAACCGGCAGCGCGTGTTAGGCGCAGACTTATCCCTGCTTAGGATTCGGGATAAACTTCCTAGGATGAATCCTAGATTGATAGATTCTTAGAAAAGGTTGGTGCGGGAAAGGAAGAATTTTATATTCTATTTCCCGGTCTTCTTTTAGGGTGAAGGCGAACCCGAAAACAAGGAAGGAAGAATTTTATATTCTATTCCCTGATTCTGGAAAGGAAGAATTTTATATTCTATTTCCAGCGAAGAAGAAACTAGAAGTGGGGTGTCCACTCCGAGAATCTGGAAAATTTAGATAAACTTGCCTTTTATAGGATGAGTTATCTAAACTGAAAATGGGTTCTTCGTTTATCGAAGTGGAATTTTCAACTCCGGTTATAACCATGAACAAGGTTTAACCAAAGAGAAAAAGGGAAGGAGTTCTTTCGTTTATCGAAAAGGGACTCCGAACTGAAAGTGGACCTCTTGTTCATGGAGAGAATCAAGAGGGCCAGAAAAACATTTTTGGTGGACTCACTGTCAATTGAAATTGATCAGTGAGGGATTTTGGTGGTGACAATGATTTTGGGTTATCCTCTAGAATATTAAGTGTAATATTCTTCGAGGAACTTCCCGGTAAATGAGTTATCCTGAATGTACTAGGGATAGTACTTTTTCAGGAACTTCCCATTTATTGGCATTAATTGCCTGGCGCCCTCTTGAGTAATCAGGCGATATGCGCCGTTTGAATAGACTGTGTCTATTACAAACGGTCCTTCCCATTTGGGTTCGAATTTACCTTTCTTCTTGGAGGTGAGAATTATTGGTCGGCGAGCAGCGAGGACCAGATCTCCTTCCTTGAAGCTTCTCTGTCGGACTCTTTTGTTAAAAGCCCTTGACATCCTGGCTTGGTAAAACTCGATGTGTTGTTGAGCCTCCAAACGCTTTTCATCCAGCCTCTCGAGCTCTTCGAGACGCTTCTGATGTTGTTCCTCCGTCGTCATCTCCGTTGCGAGGGCGATCCGAAGGGACGGAATCTGAATTTCCAGCGGTAGCACAGCTTCACATCCGTATACCAGCGAATACGGGGTAGCTCCCGTAGGCGTGCGTATGGTGGTGCGATAAGCCCAGAGTGCTTCACCGAGTTTATCGTCCCAGTCTCGTTTATTGGTCTTCACGAGCTTGGACAGGATCTTAATGATCGTCTTGTTAAACGCTTCAGCTAATCCGTTCGCAGCGGGGTAGTAAGCTGTCGACGAAACATCTTCGATTTTGAACTTGTCGCAGAATCTGACGAAGGCATTGCTTATGAACTGTGGACCGTTGTCATGAATGATCCTTCTTGGCACGCCGTGTCGGTAAATGACATGATGCTTGATGAAATTGATGACGTTGTTCGTCTTCACTTCTCTAAGCGGAATCGCTTCAGCCCACTTTGAGAAATAATCTGTGATCGCGAGGATGAACCGATCACCTTTGACTGAAGGGGGAAAAATAGGACCGACTATGTCCATGCCCCAAGTCTCGAACGGCCAAGACGTGGTTGACGTGTGCAACTGCTCTGGTGGTTGATGCATATAATTCGCATGTATCTGGCAAGCGTGGCATTCTCGTGCGTATTCGATTGCGTCACGAACCATCGTTGGCCAGAAATATCCCATCCTCCTGATGCGATCATACAGTTTGGGACCGGGCTGATGCGCACCACATTCTCCTGCGTGTGCTTCCTTAAGAACTTCTTCTGCTTCTTTGTTCGAAAGGCATCGGAGTAATAAACCATCGTATCCCCTACGGTATAACGTATGGGTCTCGGCATTATAAAAGAATCTTGGCGCTCTTCGGCGAATTGATTCCCTTTCTTTTACGTCTTCTGGCAGAATACCATACTGGACGTAGTCAATGATGGGAAAACGCCAATCTCGGGACTCAGACCCAATTTGAGTTGAATTCACCTCCTTGGCGTTTACGTTTCCGTCATCTTCCTCTTCAATATCCCTACTGTATATGGGTACGCAGAGTTGATGCGTCCGTACTGTGACTAACAGCTCAGCTTCGGGAGGCTGTGCCAGTGATACTGCTAGTGCCGCCAGTGCGTCTGCATAAGCGTTCTGGAGACGAGGGATATATTCGATGAAGAATTCTTCGAAAGATTCTGCCATTTTGATGGCTTCCTGGTGGTACGGGATCAGGTCTTGATTCCTGACTTCATACTCACCGCGAACTTGGTTGACTATCAATTGCGAATCTCCAAAAGCTTCGAGATATTCGACCCCCAGCTCCTTGGCGAAACTGAGTCCAATGAGAAGTGCATTGTACTCGGCCACGTTATTGGAACACGGATCAGTCAATGAATAAGCTCGGGGCATTACATGCTTTCCCGGGGAGATTAAGACGACTCCAACTCCAGAGGAGACGGTGGGACATCCCGGGGTTATTACCCTATTAACTGCTCTTGAAGCACCATCAAAATATAATTGCCATACTTGCTGGTGCGATGTAGTGTTAACCTCGTGGGTTTCATCCGGCAAGTCATATATACTTCTTCATATACTTCTGCCGCATCTGCGGTCGGGTTTGCCGCCAAAAGATCACAAATCGCTTGTCCCTTGACCGACTTTTGCTGTTTGAAGTGCAAATCATACTGGGACAAGAGGATGGCCCATTTTGCCAACCGCCAATTCATCGAACCCGGTTGCGTCATAAATACTGGCACGGGATTAACGTTGGAGATAACGTAAATTGTTTGTCCCACTAAGTAATGCCGCATCTTTTGCACTGCAAACACCAACGCGAGACATTCTTTCTCAATCATCGGATATCGAGACTCAGCGCCCACCAAAGTCCGACTTAAATAATAAACTGCCTGTTCGTGACCATTATCATCGTCTTGTGCTAACAAAGCACTTATCGAATGGTTCATCGCCTTGATGTAAATCAAGAACGGTTTACCAGATTTCGGTGCAACGAGAACAGGAGGGTTCGCCAGATACGTTTTGATATCTTCGAATGCTTTTTGGCAGGCATCGTCCCAAATGAATGACACCTCTTTCTTGTTTAGCTTAGAAAATGGTTGGCACTTCCCAGAAAGGTTTGAGATGAATCGCCGGATGTAAGCTAGCCGCCCTTGCAATCCTCTGAGTTCTCTTAGGTTCCTCGGAGGCTGCAACTCATGTATCACCTTTACCTTATCGGGATCGATATGTATACCCTTAGTGGTAACGACGAACCCAAGGAATTTTCCGCTGGACATTCCAAGGAAGGATTTTGTGGGGTTCATCTTTAATTGATGGCTCCGCATGAGATCGAACATCGTCTTCAAGTCCTTGATGTGATCTTCTTTGTTGCGGCTTTTTACAACCAAATCGTCGACGTAGCACTCGACTGTTTTCCTGAGATGTTCTTGGAAAATCTTAGTCATCGCTCGCTGGTATGTGGCGCCGGCATTCTTCAGACCGAAAGGCATCACCGTATAGCAGAAGACGCCGAGGGGTGTTCTAAACGCTGTATGCTTCTCGTCATCCGGGTGCATCTTGATTTGGTTATACCCCGAAAATCCGTCCATGAAGGACATCCTCTCGAATCCACATGTATTATCGATAATAACATCCGTGATTGGGAGAGGAAAATCGTCTTTTGGACATGTTTCATTCAGGTTCCTGAAGTCGATGCAAATCCTGATTTTGCCATTCTTCTTCATGACGGGAACGATGTTGGCTAACCAGTCTGGATGTTGTTCCTCTCGGATAAATCCTGAATCGATCAACTTCTTAACCTCTGCCTCAATGGCTTCCATAATCTGCGGACGAAACCGTCTTTGCTGTTGCTTGACAGGTTTGGCATCCGGCTTGATATCGAGGCGGTGCATTGCGACATTGGGGTCGAGCCCTGGCATGTCTTCATAATTCCATGCGAAGACGTCGATATATTCCCTGATGAGAGCAATCAATTCCTCCTTCTCATCTGGGGGAAGACTGTCGCTGATGAATATAGGCTTTGGGTTAGCTTCATCACCCATGTTAATCTGGACTATTTTATCTTCAGTGGGTGGTTCTCTTTGCTCGAACCTATCGCCATATTGCATATTCAGATGGTGAACCCACGGGTCTTCCCATGTTGGCATTTGATCGTCGTCTTCCATTGTGGACGGATCAGCTGTAGTCATGTTCGCCATTAGGGTTTTGAAAACGGTAATAGTCATCGGGTTTTCCTTTTGGTACGTATGCCACTTTGACTGGGATACAGGATCCTCGATCGAAGTATAAACCTTCTCCGAGTGTGAAATTGTATCCTTGTTTTTCCATGAGCATGCGCGCTTCCGGACTATACTTAGATAAATGCAGACCCGATTTGTCTTCATCCTTGTCTTCTCTTAGGAAATGATCTGGCAACGGAAGATTTTCTCCTTTACCATAAATCACTTCCTTTTGTCCCCCTACCTTGGTAGGAATAATTCGGGTTGTTCCGAAAGAATGCTGGAGACTTCTCTTCGTCACATAAGATGACCGGAGCGGCATACACAAATTTGGGTTATCATATAATCCCTTTATCGCATCATTAAGAGACAAGGAGTACTCTAAATCATGATTTATTTCAATATCAGCAAGTTGCCAGTTACAACCGCCATCTGACGATTGTTCATCGTCAAGATTGATTACAAAGGGTACAATGTCATTTAAAACAAAACCGCCATTGTAATCGAATCCGGCCTCGGAATCAGCTTCTTCTCCGCTGTCCGTGCCTTGGATCGATGGTTCCGTGTCAGATTCGTTACCATAAAGGAGAGAATCAGTGAAGTAATTCTCATACCCTTTGAATGGTTGCTTATCT